TAATGAGTGATCGCGGAGATGGTTGATGACACACTGATGTACCTATATAGAAAAGCGTCGCGCGCAGGCGGCGATCTAACTATACGTACTTACTACTTATGCTATTTTACAAGGTGTTCGGTTACTTTCCGAACAATCATAGACATGAATACAAATATTTCATTTTACCTTATTACTACGAAGATTATTACAGAATTTCATTAATTGTAATATAATTATTACTATCATTGAAAAACGTGACGATTTGCTACAAAATTTCTCCCATACGTCGATAAAGAAGTTTCATTCCAACGCCGATAAAGAAGTTTGACTTCAAAAAGCAACATGGCGCGTAACCGAAAAATGTGACGCGTAACGAAAAAATGTTACACTAAATTTTTTTCCAACCTCGATAAAGAAGTTTCACTTTAAAAACCTATACTAATTTAAACATTATTAAACAGAATAAGATTTAAACTTCAGATCATAAAATTCATTACAATTGTCTTTTTATCTAAAGGCAATGTTATAATAATATTATTATTATAACATTGCCTTTACTAATATTGTGTTTCATATATTATGACAGCTCTATAGATGAAATCGTTTTAACCTATTGCATAGATTTTATCGCGGGCTTAGAGCGCGGCGACCGAATCCAGAAATTCCGTAACGAAAATAAGAACCTAACACAAAATGACGTAATATAGGTGCGGCCAATACGCGTTAGAGCTGGACAGAACGCATACTACGTCTCACATCGGTCTGACGTGATCGGTGACGTAACCCAGGTGCGTTAGAGTGGGACGGAACGCATACTGCCTATTCACATCTCTCTTATAAGATCGGTGACGTAGCGTAAGCGCGGCTGGTGCAGCCGGTACGCGTCAGAGTGAGACAGACTATATAGGCCTGTTAGTCTGGGTCTGGTAGGATGGCAGATTGAATTAATATAAAAAAAATACTGCATAAATAAAAAATATAAAAAATGATGTTTGCATAAGTTGACAAAAGCATTTTTTGTAAAAGCTTTACCGCGGCAGTCCCCGAGTGCCACCGTTTTTTAATAATAAGCATATTTTTTGGTGCCTGAATTTTGCACATCGTTAAAAAACTGTTGTTTCCAAGTAAGATTGTCGTCTAGTGTAATTTTATTAGTATTAAACTTAGTTGATAAGACTTGTTCAATTGACTCGTTAATATGTAAGTTTGAGATTATTGGGACTGCTGTCATTATAATTCTGAAATATTATATACTTCGTTATTTTTATATTTACACTTAAATTATTATTTTCCAGCCATTCCGTGACATTCTTTACTGTTTCATTCAACAAGGATGCGTGGTTACGGCTTTCAAGGGGAAGACGATAAAAAAATTAAATACCATTTGTTTTGACGACAATTATAAATAACTGATCCATTTATTATGTCATCATGATAATTAATATGACATTTACATGTCTATTTTTATATGGCTCATAGTGCCGAGTGCGGTTTCTTTTTATAATTAATCAATCTGAATGTCTTATCTTATCTTTAAAAAAGTTTATTTGAAAATTTTAACAAAAGTAAACCCCTTATTCCGCTAACATTGATATTTCAATTTGTAATTTACATGAAATGACCCAAAAACTAAGCTTGAACAGAGTATGCAAATTCAAATGAAACGTGAGTTCTATAGAAGTTGCCAGTTTGAGCATTGAGGTAGATGGAACTTTGTCTTTAACCTGGGTTTAAAGGTGACTATACAATAATTTGTGTCATTTGTCCACTTGATTTTAGGATTAATTTTGTGTGGCTAATTAACGATTTTTTCTATTACTATATTAATATATCTATTTATATAAAATCGACTTTGATATTTTTTTTTTTGTATAAGACGCAAAGTTTAATCGATTTCAGACACAAGTTTGTTCGGGTACTCATCGACAACTGCCCGAGAAATACCTGCCCAGCCGGTGTAAAGAGTAGCACCAGTGCTTAGGTGCAACATAATGAATGTTGCTAGCTGCTGCGAAGAGACAGTCAGTTACCTGTTACGCCTGGGGCAGTACCAGTACTTCCCAAGGCGCGCCCGTCCAGTTGGCTGAAGCCCAAAGACTTACAGCGAAGCATTCCCACACTATTTTCTTATACAGTTGTGAGAGCAAGCCTGCGTCGTATAAGCATTGTATCAGATTAGATGGTTGCAGCCTTACAATGTGCAGTGACAGCTGTTCTACACTCTTGCAATAATAACTGTCTGAAAATAGAGATTTTTTTGACCTTCAATGATAAATTACCTTTCTAAATGACACGCCTATTGACACCTGAATGGTTTTGTCAAAATTTTATATATCAGCGTTTCGGTTAATATTACCGTATTTATGCTGTGATTTCGATTAATTTTGTTCTCATGAGTTATCAACAAAAAATTTGAGTCTTCAAAAGCATGTTACTTACGTATTCAGATCCGGTAGAAGCTGTCATTTTCTTTATAGTTTAGTGTCATAAATAGGAATAAACGACCTGTCATGTTGTTCAAAATCTATTATAACTGGACTATAAAATGCCTGTTTACTTAGGCAGATAATAGTTTGTAATTTATGTAAACATACCACAAATAAATTGTATGTTAACTTTGTATAAAGGCCTGTTGTGTACACAAAAACCACTCAAATATAATACCAGTTTTGAAAAAAAAAACATTCTCACATTGAAAAGTTTCAGCATAATAGAAAGTATTCATTACAACCGTAAATCGTATATTTTTAAATATACTTAATGTTCTATAAGCTGTTTTCTACATGTCTTTTGAATCTGTGCCCTTTGATAATTCCAGTTCAAGGTGACTTTACCTTAAAAATGGAATATACTCTGTCAAGTGGGAGTCGAACTGTTGTAACAACTACAACGCACGACGCATATAATAAATATTATTTATTATTATTATTATATAGAAAATATTCAATTATGAGGTACCAATTGAGAGAATCATTATAATTATGACTAAAAACAATAAAAATAAAACCAAATCAGTAGCACTGTAACCTTTTTAGGTCTGGGCCTCAGATGTCTGTTTCATGATCATATTTTGTCAACCTAATAGGCAATGTGATTAGCCTCCTGTGCCTGACACACGCCGTCGTCTTTTTGTGTCTAAGCCGGTTTCCTCATGATGTTTTCTTCACCGTTCGAGCGAATGTTTAATGCGAACATAGAACGAAAGGTAATTGTTATATCCTTAGGGTACTGATGTTCGTTGATATTCTTTCTTTACTATATAAATTCCTTTTTTTTATAAAACAAGGGGCAAACGGACAAGAGGCTCATCTGATGTTAAGTGATACCGCCGCCCATGAACACTATCAATGCCAGAGGGCTCGCAAGTGCTTTGCGCGCATTTAAGAATTGGTACGCTCTTTTCTTAAGGGACCCTAAGTCGAATTAGTTTGGAAATACCTCAGATTTTTAACTAACATAGTTATAAAACTAAGTTACATTATCTCGTAAATCTGTAATAGTTAAGGGCATTGTAATGATCGCATATGTGAACATCCCCTTACAAGATATCGTGTAAGTGTAAGTTTCCCTAACACCGGTAGAGCAGTGTAAACACACCTTTAACTGTTAATTAAGATCAAAATGTGTGTATTGCTCAACTGTTTGACGTAATTGCTGAGATTAATTAGTTATCGCACATTACTTGGCAACACTAGTGTTATAATGATTGTAGAATTGTAAGTTTATTTAAGTAATAATATTGATAGAAACTATTGACTTTAAACAACTTATGTTTATTATTCAAATGATTCTAGAGAAAAACTTAAAGGATTGCATGTCTGAAAATTCGTTCCAAATATTTTGGTCATAGATATTGCATGTTACTAAGTACCTAATACAAATCTTTTCTCTTTATAATATAAATAAAGCTTAAATTGTACATATTAAGTGATATATAAAAGCTGTAAACTATATTGTTTCACATAATGCTGATGTTTTATGCATGAAATGTAACTTTATGAAATATTAAAATATATCGCCCACTTTTTCCCGGATCTACACTTAAACTACCAACCGTTTTCGCAACGAATGGTATTTAAAAACAGATCTATAACAAACTCTCTATGTCCGCATTTAACACTTGTTAGTACCATTGACGAAATCAACAATAAAAAACATAGATGAGACCAAAAATGACCATACACTTTATTTTGAAATTAAACTTCTTATTTATATTATTATTATTATTGAAACTTATTTTGAAATTAAACCTCTTAAGGCGCATGTATAATTTTTAAGGATGAAACGCTATATTAATAATATTAGCGTCACGAATATGTGCAGCGTTTTGCATAAACTATAAAATACTAATATTTTATGCAAAATAATTTATTGAAATCTCAAATGACGAATTGTAAAATTTAAATGCTATGTGTTTTAATTATCGAAGAAATAAATTTAAAAAAATATTTATAATTTGTATTAATTTTCGACATTTTTAATATTTTAATGAAATTTAAATTCCTAAGATATCTTCCTTTTGGGGAGGGAGGGTCCCTCGAAGTCTCGGAAATCTAAAGTTTAAGATTTGTATAAATATGAAAAACACTTAAAAATTAGTTTGGCAAAGAAGTTTCGCTTCTGCCATGTGTACATAGTCCGCACGCACTTTTTTTTACATAAAAAAACGTCAATCAATAGATAGATTAGGTTAATCAAATGAAAGCCGTATTAGCTGACTCTGTGCATTTGAACCCCGGCGTTCACAATAGTGTTTTTTTATTCGCAATTAAAACTTGCTTTTACAGTGATAGAAAATAAATTTAAAACGGCAGATATCGTCGAAGAAAAATACTTCGTATAATAGCGTGATTTATTAAATTGTGTCTTAAACAATAATACATAAAGTGTTCATAAAGCTTACTGATCTAGAGATGTGTTTCATTAAGGTATTTAATTTTTCTACTGCGAACGCTTGAGTCTCTCAAACGCTGCTTAGTTAATCACTACTAACGAAGTAAGTTCCGTAATCTTCCAGTTTAAAGCAGCGTGTAATAACTATAAGCGCCTTTCAGTATCTGGAATAATTAGACGATTAAGTTTAGTTGCGCTAAGAGCTTTTTGTTAGTGTCGTCAGAGTAATGGAGTTAAGCTAATTGACAAATTGGATAATTAATCTAGTGTACGTTTTAACATGAGTTGCATCGGCTTAAATCTTAGCTAGACTGAAATATCATCTGCAGTTTTTACTTTTTTATTTTCCTCACTTTACTACGCCTAGTGGAACATGGTGTAATGGTTGCGGCTCCTTACAAACACTGTGTAAAACAAATAACTTGGCGATTAAAAAGAGTGGCGGAGAGTTTATTGCCAGTTCTTCTCTTCCATTCTACGCCCTTGATTTGAGAACTGGCAGTAAATTTAAAATTAGAATCATATAATGTATATTATTGTATTTGTAATGTATTTCTTTTTTGACGTTCATAAGTGTTACCTATATGAATGAATAAAAGAATTTTATTTTTTCTAAGCGAGCGTCTCTCAACTCTTCGGTCATTAGTTCGAATCACTTCTATCATTGAATGCCTTCTAAGTGTGCAATCTTCACTTTGTTGAACGGTAAAAGAAACCATTTCTTCGCACTTAGGTCAAGTATTTGGAGATTAAGTGTTTCTTCTTCTGCTTGTCCACAACGCCACCGGTGTTGAGCGTTTAAACGTGGATGACGCTCTGGCCGGCTTATACCAGTGTTCCACTACACGACACAATAGAGCAGCCTCAGGCTGCCTCATTTCGTCAGAAATTTCCAGCAGGACCATACCTGACCAAAACTCCAGCATAGGTGATCTTAATTAATGAAAGCTTGACGTTATGAATATAATCTAAAATTTAACATATTTTTTTTATGTTACAGGAGGCAGACGGGCAGGAGGCTCAGCAGATGTTAAGTGATACCGCCGCCCATGGACACTCGCACTGCCAGAAGACTCGCAAGCGCGCTGCCGACCTTTTAAAAATTGGTACGCTCTTTTTTGTTCCACATAGTGGTGGTGCGCGCCAGAAATTGCCTTAAGAATCGCTTAGTTATGGAACGACCGACGTCAAGGTGATACGGATGGTATTTTGTATTCTGCCTTGACGTCCGAAAATGAAACTCAGCTGCAGGTATTAGTTCGAACAACTCCTCTGAACGTTCTCCATGGTAAATGCGGTAGAAGATGCAGAGAGATCCCACATATCTGCATCTTCTACCTACATACTTACTACTTTATTACAATTTTTTGGAGTCCACCTTACAATTGAATTTCTTCTCAACTTAATAGTATGAAGTAATCCTTACTTACATTTATAAAAGTAGCAACGGTGAGATTGGTAAATGGTCCGGCGGTGAATATAATAGTTTTGGACAATTGAACAACGAGAATGAATAGGTTTCTTTGATGAGATGGGCTTTGCGTCCACCATTTGCTTTCATACGGTCCACGGATTAGATCCATACTCTGTAATTGATTTACTAAGTACTAAAACCTCAGTGTTTCCATTTATTTCTGAATTTACTTACTTGTACTGGATAATGGAGATAATTGAGTTAAAATTTATATACTGGTTATTATATAAGTAATACAAATTAATATATTGTAGTAAAAATGAGATTTATAATTAATTTAATACAGGTTTTCTCCTGTGGGGCGATGTACTTATTGAACATTTTAATTAGGTTGATTAACAGCTATCTATCTTTAAGTATGGCTATTGGCTAGAATAGTTTTGGCTTCAGCGTGCGAAACTCATCACATAGGTCGTAGGTTGCCTTAACACTCGCTCGTACGGTGAAGGCACAGAAGGCTGATCCGTTGAGTATTAGAAGAAAAAAAAGATTGTAAATTTAAATGATTTGCCTCCACCGATTTCTACCCCGCGCTTAATTGATTTAAAAAAAAATCGGTGGCGCTACAACCTTTTTAGGTCTGGGCCTCAGATTTCTATCTCTGTTTTATAATCATTTGTCAATCTAATAAGTAAGTAGGTGATTAGCCTCCTGATTACAGGCCGTCGACTTTTTGGGTCTAAGGCAAGCCGGCTTACTCACTATATTTTTCTTCACCGTGCGAGCGAATGTTATATGCGCACATAGAAAGAAAGTCTATTGGTGCACAGCTGGGGATCGAACCTTCGACCACAGAGATGTGAGTCGCACGCTGAAGTCGCTAGGGCGAAAACTACTTTTTTTCTTCCATAATAATGTTTTTAATAATACGTACAGCGTACAGCACATCGTTACTATGCCAGCTGTAAAGAAAGAGTTGGGCGACACCAAACATAAGGTACACGACTGTCATTAACTGCTGCATTGTACTTGTTTCCAGCTGTTACAGGTAAAAAATAAGGATTGAAAAGAACTTACCACATTTAACGGAAAAATCAGAGTGTGCAAATACAAACATCAGTACACATAAAGATGGTATATATAATACAAAAAATATTGATTTCTGCACGTGATGAATAAAGCAAGCGTACGAATCCCGGAAATATTTTTTTTATTGAATCCCTATTATTATTTTTATTTTATGTCCTATTTTGGAGAAAAAATATTTAATGAATTTTAAGTAAGCACAAAAGAATTACATTAAATGACAAAAAAAAATACTTTATTAACTGAATTCGAATTGAAGGAGATTATCGGTTTCATCTGTACACCATCTGATAGTGACGATTTGACCAGGTGATCGAGGTTAAGTGATATTAAGTTTCTAAAAATATTAGTGAACATACATGCAAGCATACACATAAGAAATTTACCACACGTAGTTAGCGGTAACCTAAATAGATCATGCGCAAAAGTATAAAATTAACCTCCTTTTTTGAAATCGATTAAGAAGTTATCAGCCATTTAGCAAGAGTTCTGTCATAAACACACAATAATTATTATCTTTATGGATACGTACGTTGGTAATTTGATAAGCTGTGGAACAGAGTATTACTGTACATATAAAAGTGTAGAGTAATAAAATCGGCGATGTACAAGAATTATACAGCTCGCTATAACTGCAAAAAAAAATTATTTAAAAAAGATCCTTTTAACATTTAGTTAGATTATAATAATATCTATAATAACTATATTAAATAGTATCTGTCCAAAGTAAACATGGCCGCTCGAAGTCTGGCAAGGAACAATCAATGACCTAATGCGAAATCGAAAGACATGCCCAAGACTAATCAGGCTGGTACTCTAGATGCACTACGTAGAATTTTATGTCAAATAAGTCAAATGTGGCAAATTCTTAATGACTTCGATTATTGAAAAGCACTCGAAACTAGATACATACATGTATATGTATAAATAATGGAAAAAGTGCGTAGTATAATAGTTTTTCTTTTACATTTAAGTATTTAATATTATATTTACGTAGTTATTCTGATGTATAAGCTATATTCTTATAAAGTTTCATTAAAACCCATTCAGTAGTTTTTACGGGAAAGAGTAACAAACATCCATCCATACTTAAAAACTTCGAGTTTATAATATTAGTAGGACTTACTGTATCAGCTCAATGTGCCTTTTATGACAATTTCTGATTCTATCAATCGTGTCACTTTCAGAGGCATCAAATATGGCCGCCGTGTCGATTTTCAACGCCTCCAACTCAGCCCTTATAAAAATCATGATTGACAGCGCAATAACATCATATGAGGTGATCCAGCCAGCTGCCACAAACGTTCCAAGACCTTGTATGACACAAGCGAAGAAATAGCCTGGCATTTCGTGCTTATTGAAGGGTACCCAGGAGCTGATGACTTGCATATAATCCTCTCTTCCCGCTTTCACATTCTCTCTATACGTCGATGATAGGAGATACTTGAAACCCGGCTGAAAGATTACTACAAAACCAGTGGCAAACGTGAAAGTCCCATAAGTGTAGGTTACTATTCTACAGTACTTGGTGAATCCTTCAATGTTTTTCTTCTTTTTGGGGTCAAAAGAAGATCTGTTGGCAATATCTGCCCTCGTCACATAGTCACAGACGGCCCTCCAATCTTTTTGCCAGGCGATGAATGACCAAACCTTGCACATGTTAATAGCGCCTTGCATCGAAAACTTTAGGTTGGTTAATAGCAAATCTAAGCTTGCCTTAACGTAGAAGAGATCTATAAACTCGGTTATAATGAAAACGGTTTCAAATAGTTGTAAAAGTATGGACATCATCAACATCTTAGGATTATTAGAAAGCCACACACCCCAGATGGTAAGAAATTTTATAACAGGACCCAGAAAGGGGCGTTCTGGGTCCTCGAGTCTGGCGAGAAATCTGTCCAGCATTTTTGGGGCTGCTTATGAAATTCCGCTTGGCTTGGTTGTGCTAATACTTATAGTGCAGTAATTAAATCGAAAATTATTGTAGTGTTGTTCCTAAGCTTACAAAGTTAGTTTGGAAGGTGCATTTTTCTAGCATGCACGATCTGATCTTAAATAAATGTTTAATGTGCTATTTTTAATTTAAAAAACTGCGTGCGTACAAAGTACACATGTCAGAAGTGAAACTTCTTTGGCAAACTAATTTTTAAGTCTTGTTCAAATTTATACAAATCTAAAACTTTAGATTTCCGAGACTTATAAGGAGGGAAAAAGGAAGATAATTATGTTAGGAATTTAATAAAAAAAAGTGTGTGTGTGTCAGCTACGACGCACGATTGGTGTTTACTCCTTACGAATGATAAAATGGCGATAATGTTCTGTGGCTGTCGACCATATTTTTTATACTAAAGGTGGTAAGAATATATGTTTTTATAATATAAATGTTTGTAGTAGTAATAAAACGTACCTACTCGTACATCATCTATGCCCAAATAGGATTATCTTTCTGTGACCAAAGTTACCTTTATAGTAAGAGAAGAATAAGAATGAACAATCTTTTTAGTTTTAATTTCACTGACCATTACTATTGACAAAACTCTATGGCACGTTAGACAATCTACTTTTATTTTTTACACCTGTCAACACTGACAATGTTGTAACGTGGCTGTCAAAACGTGAAATCAAAATAGAAAAGTCTGTGTAATGTATTCCATCTCATTCTTTTACTCGTTCAATCCTACAGATATATATGATTGTCTCTTTCTATATAACGCCTCAACTTTTCGTGTTACACTTGATTTTACTCCTCATAAAATTTCCGTACCGGGCCTTATAACTCAAATCGTTTCTTAAGGAGTAAACTCCAAAAATATAATAAGAGATCAAAGCGTTTTCCTTCGCATTAGTTACAACACTATAAAACTCATACAAAATGGAGTTTGAGGTGTCATTCGTTGCATGAACAATTACGAAATAATTATTTTAAATGCCGATATTAATTTCAATTGTATTATAGAATTGAATCATTATGCCTGAATAATTAAATATGAATTAAAAAGACATTAAACACAGTATGTACTGTATTTTTTCATTTATTCCTTGAACTCTGAGTAATGTTTTTATGGAGAGAAAAATTTTAAAATATTAATCTTGGCTTTGTTCAGTACTTAATTTTTGACGTGACACAACTAATGTACGCCGCGACCGGCTGTACGCACGAAAAAGCATGACTCATTGCCCCGTTACGCTTATTGTATTGCCCGATACGCTTGCGCCGCATTTATCTGTCTTCCACTGGATTGGTCTATGCGTCCAAGCATACACTTCTTTTTATCCATAAAAATAACGATAATTCAATAAAAATGAATCAATTTTATTCATAAAAAGAATTCTCGGGATCATTTGGCGCGCCGTAGAACTTCTTCGTTCGTGACTCTATGGACCCAGATTATCCTCAGTATTCTTCGGTAACACCACATTTCACCGACTTTTTCAAGTCATCATAATGGGCAAGGTCGAGGGGAAAAGACGCGCTGGCAGAAGGATGAAGTCGTGGCTCCGCAATATCAGAGAAGGGACGGGACGGGAGTGGCCAGCGGTAGAACAGCTGATGCGCTTGGCGAAGAATAAGCAGAAGTATGCTGCGAGCTGACCGCCAACCTCCAGTAGTGGAGAGGCACTACAAGAAGAAGAAGCTAAATATTCCATATGTTGGTCCGTTTAGGCTGAGTAAAAAAAATCATATTAAGGCGAAACAAAGTTCGTGTGGACTATTAATATGAATAATTTCGCATACATACCTACTTCCCTTGCGATGTTTTCCTTCTCTGTACGAGTAATAATTAATTACCGTCATAGAAAAAAAACAATAGGCGACCAACTTAACCGTTCGAACAGTTGAGCCACTAGGCCAACACTGCTGCTACTTTTTTAACTCTTCTCTAAAAAGGACCCAATTTGTTTTGTATTGTTTATGTTGTGTAACTTCAAGCCTTTTGAAGTAAGATACAGAGAATTGAGATGTTCATTATACAATATACATGAAACATGAATCTTAGAATAGCTATTAAATAATTATTTGAATTTGAATAAAGAACATGTTTAAACTGTTATTTAGGGAAAACGGAAATGGCTCAGGGGCGAGGGTTTTGAAACCGGATGTTTAGTGAAAAGTGGAATTGTAGAGGCCCTGTTGTGAGTTCTTAGAAATGGGTGACAGTGGTTTAGGTTAAATTTAAGAATTAATTATTTTGTTCATTAATTGTAAGTATATCGAATAAAAATGAAATGCATATTTCACATGAATAATTACTAAACTTATTGTCAAAATAAGTAAAATTAACAATAATTTTATGATTTCATAGATTGCGTCTGATTTGTTTTCTTCATGCTTGTAAAATGCAGCTGGTAAATGAGATCTTTATCTGTGGCGTCGCGTTTTTGATACCCTTGTTGAGAGTGCTTTAGTACGTCAATTTTTAATGTTGCTTTGATTGTTGATATTGATATTGGCTCAGCCCTGCGATTCTGTAACTCACTTCTCGAACTCACACAGCGGTTTTAGCATTCTAATAATCAATAAACTACAAGCTCCCACCTTTTCAGAATGCCAATTCAATTTTTTAGGAAAAGCTGGGAACCCTGACACAGGTATTTTCTTGCTTAAAACGTGTTCCAAAATCTAACACCTTATAATGAATTGTTATCAAATAATTACAAATTAATGAAATTCAATATAGCTAAATATAATTAATTCTTTAATAGTCATACATAAAACAAATTAAATTTTAAAGTCATAATAATTTAATGAACGTATGAAAAATATAATTTTCGCTAAACAGCATGGTCACCCCTCTTTATATTATACAGTACAGACAAAGTTTCAGAGAGACAATCTCAAAGAATTTTCCTTGTGCAAATACTTGGCAGGCTCATAATTGTGTGGTTTACCCTAAGTGGGGTCACGAGTGATGTTTTTGTGGACTTTTACAAGCAGTTCTGACATTCGGATTAAAGTATATCTCTGTATACCCTCTAAATAAATTATTTTGTAAACGGCTAGATGATTTTTAATGACATTTTTCTACTTTCTCTTATTCTAGGCTAAAATTTAAACTTAATGGCCTATTGACTAGGCGTATGACTCTTAATTATCCTAAACGCATCGTGCGCATAAATCACGGCCCAATGAAGTCTTTCTATGAGAGAAATTTGACATTCACTCGTACGGTGAACCGTTAACGTTTGAAAACATAAGAAAATCGGCATGTCTTAGACAAAAATCTAATTTCCTACCTACTGAAATAATAATATAAAATAAAATAAATAAATAATGTTCTGAGACTTGTTATTAGTGTATTGGGTAATGGTGCGATAACTATGCACCCGAATCTGATTATGCAGGAGTCTTGGGGGACCTTCACTGGAACACCTCCAAGTGATTTTAGCTGCCGGAAATGCGTCAAAGTATTTAAAAAAAAATTTATTGTTTTGTGAAATGTATTGAAATTTGTAAACAATCCACCATTATCTTTTTTTCTATTGGTTATAAGTGATGTGACATTTTCGGTAAATTAATCGGATCGATTATTTTCTCATTTGTTATTTTAAAAGTTGAACCTAATCGAATATATAAACCTAACCTAACCGATCTAAATAATATTTGTTTTTTTTGGACAGCTCCTGATCTAAATAATTATTGTTTATTCAAGCCTCCGCAACTTGGCGTCTTGGTCGCCTTAGGCGACCAAATATTCATATACTAACCTAACCTAACCGATCTAAATAATATTTGTTTTTTTGGACAGCTCCGATCTAAATAATAATTGTTTATTCAAGCCTTCGCAACTCGGCGACCAAATATTCATATACTAACCTAACCTAACCGATCTAAATAATATTTGTTTTTTTGGACAGCTCCGGCGCTACGGGAAATGCAGCCCCTCCACCCTTGCGTACCAAAGCACAGGCATTTTATTCAAGTTATTTATATACACTCTAGGGGTAAGGCAGACAAGACCACGTAGATAGTGGGGTGCTCTGATTCGGTTTTGGGTACTTTTTGAATAATTTAAAAATTTTCGGAAACATACACTAATTGAAACATGAAGTTAATGTAATGTATGTACATTTGACAAGTAATGGTTAAATTAGGTTCAACTTTAAAATTAACAAATGAGGAAATAATCGATTCGATTAGGTTCAACTTTAAAAGTAACAAATAAGAAAATAATCGATCCGATTAATTTACCGAAAATGTCACATCACTTATAACCAATAGAAAACTAAATAATGGTGGATTGTTTACAAATTTTAATACATTTCACAAACCTTAAAAAATTTTTTAAAATACTTTGACGCATTTCCGGCAGCTAAAATCACTTGGAGGTGTTCCAGTGAAGGTCCCCCAAGACTCCTGCATAATCAGTATCATCAGATTCGGGTGCATCGTTATCGAACCCAACCCTACACCGGTTCTCGTCCGATCACCGAAGTTAGGCAACGTCGGGCGAGGTCAGTACTTGGATGGGTGACCGCCTGGGAACACCTCGTGATGTTGGCTTTTTTTTTCGTCGTAAGATTGGTGTCGAGATAATCTATCATACTGTTATGATACCAATTAACATATAAATTAATCGAAAGGAATTTCGTTCCATCCGGGTGTCCCTTGACACCTCTAAAGTTTTTTATTATATAGAGACATCCGCCGTTCCACAACTGAGCGTTTTTAAGGCAGTTTTTGCCACGCACCACTACTATATGGATCCAGCTACCCACTGAACTTTCTGATCCAATTTGACTAAGAGTCCTTCAGGAAAAGAGCGTACCAATTCTTAATAGGCCAAAAACGCTAAAAACGTGTGTACTATATCGCTGTACTCCGATATCGGCTGGACCGATTTGAATATTATTTTTGTATGCGTTTGGGCGGCACCCTAGATGGTTTAGATACACAAATTAGCCCG